CTTGAAGCCAAGCGAAGCAATGCCTAGACTTGTAATTTATGCGCACTTCGCTAGAAATCCTACGATACCACGGGTAACAAGTGATTTATGAGACATAACTGGAGATCCCTTGAAAGACGTTTCACCAACAAAGAATGCTTTATTCATATTTCTCCTTTAATTACTTATGTAATCAGGTAAAGTACGCCATGAGTTAACATACTCAATAATTCATAACGCACTCATAAAATCTCTGTCATAAGAGCTGTGGCGAACGTCGGTAGAGCGCCTATGTCTAACAACCACAGAATCCAAAACACTAAGCGGGAATGTCGCATTGGAAAGCACAGCTGACCACAAGTTACCACAATCACAGCCCGAAGATTAAAGCCCGGAATGGGTGGATTGATTTTCTTTCTTTCAATCCGAACTCTAATCAGGCTTGAAGAGCCTCTCATTCTCATAGAACAAACGTCTACCAGTACGTGATCCGTGTGGGCGAACAAAAACCGGTAGTCACATCACTTGGCCGCAGCAAATTATGTACGATTAAACTACCTGTATCTGTATCACAAGGGGCACTGCGGTCCCAAATGTAATAGAATGCACGGCGCATCTCAAATGAGATTGGTTTTTCCACTCAGGACGGCAGAAAGGTTACATAAAGGATAAAGGATAAAGCATTTGCCATTGATCAATCCCTTTTGGGATGCGGCACGCATTCTACTTCCATTTGAGGGGCCGCAGTGTTGTAGTGTGGCATGCTTACCACGCGAGCGGTCCGGGGATCAAATCCTGGGTCGTGAGTCGCCCGGGCCAACCAAGCCTTCCATCCCTCCGGGGTCGGTTAATTGGTACCAGACTTGTCTGGGAGGATAAAAACACTGACTTGTACATCGGCTGGCCCCCGCAAGTCATTGTATAGGCCACATCGCATTCAAACGCCACTACGAATGTACAAATGGAAGTAGAATGCGTGCCGCATCCCAAAAGGGATTGATCAACGGCAAATGACGGCCATGTTCGTATAATCATGCCATTTATAAATAGAGTCTTATAGACCCTGCATTAGCTGTTCTAAAAGACCCTCTGCATATAGCCGCTCCGATGGATAACACTTGAATTTGCTTTCCTATACTTTCAGGGCGGCTCCAAACTTATGAATTTCTACACAGCCGCTGCAGAGGTTTCGAAGAACGAAAATGTTAGGGAATGGGGATCAACAGCCTACGAAAACAATACGGAGGGTAATCAAGACTATTGTCATATCGAGACCGATAGGGCCGTTTAAGGCTTGCAATCGGCTTTTCCGAAAATCAAGAATTTAGACGCAGCTGGCCTTCACGTGAACTAATTGTGACCCTGCCACAAGTCCTATCATAAATCATTTAGAAATATTCCTTCTCTGAGGGCAAGAAAGAGTTCTACGGAACACAAGCGAGCACAAATATGTGCGTCCCACACGCAGCATTCCCATGCCAAATAATCATTATTGATCAGTGTTTTGAAGTCAGCGACCATAAAGCATAAAAAATTTATTCCCAAGTGGCCGCATTTAGAGTCTGATGAATTAGTCTCAATGAAAGCCACTGGATTCATTACCTGATCTCGCACAATTCCTAAAAACTTTAGCGCCAAGCATATTTCAACTCTCATAACAACTAGCAAAATCGTCACAATGAATTGTTACTACCTCTGATTTCAGGAGATATCTCCCCGCCGTAATATCACGTAAAACACCTCCGTTCTCGTAGCATTGCCAGTTACGACCTTGAAGACTTCGAAATTGCCTAGAGAGGTCCGTCTCGCATGTCCTGATTACGCCACAAGTGACCTTTCATTCTTACGGCTTGTAGCGACATGCTAATCCCCTGTTGGTGGCGGAATCCTGTAAGTGAAATCGCGTGAGTCAGTGTGGACATGCGGACATGTCAGCGAGGTGGGTGTGGTGTCCTGGAGCATTAATTCTGCAAAGTTGGGCCTTGTTGTCCTGTGTTCTGGCTTGGCTGTAAGGAAACCGTCGAGAAGCTGAAAACGACTTAACTGTCACACGGCCTCGATTTTACCGTTGCATCACGTTAATGCCAGAAAGCTGAAAGGTCAATCTTTCGTAATCAGCGTGTACCGACATAATCCCTATAGATGGAGTTTGCACGGGTTTTGGTAAAAAACCAGGGGTTCGTGAACCAGTGACGCCAAACTGGCGCCAATGTTACACTCACCCTAAAGTGCAGGCGGGATGTTGTTGCACGTGCCTGTCGTCGCGAGTTTATCCTAGAAAATTAGGCTATTTGTGAGAAAATCCATCCGTAATAAAAATGAACGACACCATTCAAACTTCGCTCGAAGATTTGATGGCTTCCTAAAAATTTCCACAAGAAAAGGGTTGAAGAGCTCCAACAACTTGAGCTAAATGCTAGAAACAAAACGCCGATGATGAGGTGGTTGCGCACCTAGATCTGCGATGCCGCCGCTCTACAATTCACAGAATGTTATCAAGGTAGCCAGCTTGTGTAGTTTGGAGGGCTGAAGGGGCAAATTCGTCTACAGAAGGCAGTTCCTCTAATTTTGGCTATTTCATGCCTACCTTTTGAAATCTTCTTTGAATTTTCGAGAAAAAAAAACGTCAAAAGCGATGTCACCCGCCCGCAACCACGACCTTCGTCAACTTCAAATACGAGCCCCGTTCGCAAAACCGCGAGTACCCCTCCACTGCTTGATACTTGTACCACGGTTGATCCTATCCTCAGTTTTCATGCAAGGCAATGTCTGATGAGCCAAAAAGGAGCACCAAAAAGAGCCTGCGCTATAGCGGGGCAGATTGAAAGGATTAAGGGCGAGTACAGAACGTAAGAAATAAAAGTGACGAGTGTAGAACGTAAGAAATAAAAGAGAGACAGAGAGGCAGGATTGCAGAAATATGCCATGATTCTATGGAACATAAAACATGCACAATGCCGTTCCCTAACGATGCTATACTGTTTCTCAGCTGTTGTACATTCAATGGATAAATTTCCAACCCATTACCAACAAAAATGCCAAGAGTAGGTCCTTACGGAAAGTGTAATAATGAATACTCCCGAACTGCACCCTTTGAAAATTTATATAATAAGCTAGCCTACGCCTTCTTACCCTCACGTATCATGAACGCTATCAGGTATGATAAGGATTATTTGCACAGAAGAACAGAAAAAAGAGCTTAAAAAGTTCTTTCACATAATGCCTATAAATGAATGGAATCGGTCCCTACTGACTTCCCTGTTTGCAAATGTGTTTACAGATTGAAAGGATTTGTAACTTAATTCTAACAAACTTTTGAAGAAAAGACCTATAGTACAAACCTTTAGCGATTGAGTAGGCAACACCACTGAAACAATACCGGTCACAAATAACGTCGACACCAGCAGCGATCTTCTCTTCTATCAAAGCTGCCTTAAAACTACATTGTTTCAAAAACGGGGACCTATTCACATGGCAAAACGGGGAACCTATTTCACATGGCAAAATAGTTCCAAACTCTTTTACTTTTTCCCAACGATTCGCCGAGAAAGCCAAATGAAGAGCTCTTTCACACAGATCGATTTCCTTCCTAAGGTATCGATCTATAACTTGACCAAAGGGCTCCTTTCTGTCTGGAATGTAGAAGTTGCTCAAAATAACCATCCATTTGAAAAACCCTTCACCACAACCAATTAGTAAGATTACCTACCAGGGAAAGGAAGCAGAACCGCTTGACCCCCAGACGAATTCACTTTGTCAGCTAATCGTTTAGCCTGAGTCGATTTTCCACTTCTGTCAAGTCCCTCGAAAACAATCAGGGCGCCACGTCGAGACATATCCTGCTACTTCCATTGATAAAGACAGTAACACCTACATTCTCAAAGGGAGATATGAAGTCGGGACATCAACATTGTTCAAAATATCAGAATGGAATGCAACAAAGAGCAGCACATTTTATTCAACACATTAATTTTGCTAAATTATCGCTAATTCCTTTTCATTCTGCATACTCTACCAATGGTACATCGTCTTCTGTACGGCCCAGTAACGATGACATTTCACCAGCCAGTTCAGGAACGAGTACGCGAAAATGAAACGGAAGATCGTTTTCACCTTAAAAAACATAACACCGTAATAGCGCCAGTTTGTCCCTCACTCAAAAAAAGAAAACCTACAGTATTTGCATATACAGGGCCTGAGTAATATTTGTGATGAACCCTCCAAATATTCCGCATGAACTCGTTGTAGATGGCACCTGGTGTTTTTTCACGCCGAGCAAACCAAGCCGGGAGATCGGCGAGCTTCACGTCGAAGAGCTTGGTGTCCACTGAAAACTACCTATTTCAAAGTAATTTCAACAAATGTTAATTACACTGGCCAATGAGATGCCGTGAAAAGCAGCTTTTGAAACTATAGTGGCACTGTAGAGCTGCAGCCCGGACCTTCAGAAAAGCTACACAAGCAGACAAATGATCTATTGCCCTGTTCTAATCGATCATAGATTCCAGGAGTACATTGTCTCAAAAGCGATTTTTAATACGAACACACTCGCGCTCCCAATGCGTCTGTAGAAAAGTTGCGTGATGAAATCCATCCCCCCCCCCCAAATAAAAGCGAACAGTGGCTCCCCCACTTTCTTCACGATTTGGGGCGCGGCCGCGGCAAACCCGGCCGAGTATGCGCCATCAGCTTACCTGAGTATTCGACGTTACATTACGTATCGCAATGTAACGTCGAATACTCAGGCAAGCTGATGCCGTAATGTAACGTCGAATACTCAGGTAAGCTGATGGCGCATACTCGGCCGAGTACAAGACAGATAACGAAGTCCGCGGATTCACTGTTACCGTAATCCGCGATAGCATTGGTGCGCGTTCTAGTAAGATTGGCGCGTCCTTTAGGCGACGCAAGCATCAGTCGTTCGGTTACGAGGCGATGATCAACAATCACGTGAGAGGCCGAGTTTGCCGCGGCCGCGCCCCAAATCGTGAAGAAAGTGGGGGAGCCGCGAACAGTAGTTGACAGGAAATGCAAGCATCGTGAGAAAACATACGAGACAGTGAAAGGCATTGAAACAAATCACCAAAATAGTAAAAACAGCCTCGAAGCCTTTTAGAAGGATTTTCAAGAAATCACGTCACGTTTACAATGGCAATGAACTACAAAACACCGCCGTATAAGCTCTTTAGAATGTTTCAGTAAATCGAGAAATACAATACGATTTGAATTTCGAAACCACACTCAATCTTACTCTACAATGAAATGATTGGAGTTTCATAATTTCTTTCACAGAACTCACGAAATTTAGGGGACCCGCGACTTTAAAGCTATTTGATTTCCGTATTCGTTCCCCACCACAATATGATGGTGCTCAACTTTAATTTTGTCACTTCCTTCACTTAGAACAACCAAAAAGAACAGTAGGGTCGAGTCGTTTTCAACTGACTTCAAAAATTTTAAGACCCCCAAGAACCTGAGATAAATTCTATGTGACCCTTTTCTACAGCTAAGGCTACAGATGCAAACTTAGTAGCTCTGAAGATATTGCAACTGCGCCGCAGTTTTTGTGCAGAATCGCGCTAAGTTTTCTTAGACAGAGAGAGAAGAACTGGATAGAACCCCTCAAGCGGTCATGGCTCCGGTCAAGTTGTAAGGTCAGGCCAATGTTGCTTTCTGATGAATATTGAATATTGAATTAATATGAATTGATCACGCTTCAGGAACCTCTGAAATCCCGCTGCTGAAAACTGTTCCTTTGAAACTCATAAAGTCAACCTTTCCTTGTTACTTTCCCAAATATCACTTAAGTTTTAGTCATCGGCATTTGTCCAACCTTCCACCTGAATCGATCAAATTCGAAGCGCTTCGTACAACGAGTTTCTTTTATGGAATGCGATATGCACTCGATTGCACTTCGAACTTTATGATCGGGAAGGCATTCGAAGCTATAGAGCAGCGCTCACTTCGACTAGACAATTGCACGCTTGTCCCAATGGGGCATACAAAAGGTGGAGCAACTGCAATTTCCACCACGGATCCTTGGGCTTACGACACATTCCCCACTCAGGAGCTGAAAATGACACTCCCCTCTGCATCGGAACTTTTTGGCGCTGGTACCAGACAAGGCCCTACAGTAAAGCGAAGAGTATCAAAAATGGACAAGGAGAGTCAAAATTAATTTAGTAATTGATATTACTTGCAATGTAGAAGTGTATCCATTAGAGATGCAACAACTTCAAACTGCAAAGCACTTAGAAATTGCATAATTTTTCGGCCATGGCAAACTTACATTTTCCGTAGTACCGGTGATGGCAGTAGGGACCGTGGATGTTCTTGTTCCATCTTTTGTCGAATAGACCGATTTCAGTCTTATTCAAGATTCTGAAAAAATTCAGAATCATGTTGAATCAAGAAGGGCTAAAAAGGAGTCAAATTTGAAGTTTATATTCGGATGAAGTGTAAAAGTGGCAAAACAAGCAGCACGTTGGAAATAATATTGAATTGCTTTTGACTGTTTGCTGAATGCTCGAGCTTTCAGCATCGTTGTTCACTGTCGAACGTTAACCGGCTCATCATGTTATAAATTGAACAACACAATACCACTGAAAACTGGGTAAAGTTAGAGGAACACTTCCAGATCGAATATGTGGAGTCACAGCGGTTGACAGTGGAGCTGTGGATGCCGAATTGACAAAAACGAAAAAAAGAAGCAAAGAAAATTGTCGATGATAGAAATAGATATCTTTCAAATAAGGGAGGAACTGGGCCAGACGAGTGGTGCAAATCGCCTGCTCCGAGCTCAGCTAAACCATGAGTATTTGCATTATCTTACGCCGTAATCCACGTTGCGTGTCAGGGTGTGCGCTACGTAACTCGTCCAAATGCTAGATTAGTCGCCAAATGCTGACTTTGTAAGACCCTAGCGCCATTGTCGCGCACTTTCGAGCCGCGACAACGGCACATCTGTGCTACTCAGGGCTACTCTCACTCTCTGAATGGATGTTCTGACACGATTCTGCTGGAGTTATTGCTTTAAGGAGTGTGTGATGGTGAACCGGTAGCACAACTGGGCCGGAAAAAATATGGGCTTGATTCTTTCTTGGGGATAGTATGTTGTCCAACTCAGGTCACCTAATAGTACGACGATGTGATAATACTGGACTTTAAAATTTAAAAAAAGCAAGTATCTTAAGCTAAAAAATTAGTGAATCCAATATGTTACCCGGTCCTCGATGCCCTGAGAAACATAATTTATGAAGCTGCACTACATGTTCATTCACGCACAAATTCATGTCCAAAAATGTAACACATAGCGAACTATACGAAGTCGTTTGAGCATAGAATAGAACAACAATCGCAGTAATCATGCTTAAGAAAATGACTCACTCAATAGACTCGGTATTACCTGAAAAATGAACTCAAGCGTGGGTCGGTCACGGGCAAAGATTTACAAAACACAAATGATCTAAGCAGCGATTCATCCATGCTAGGCAGGGCAATCACCAAAATGGGCGCCGTCGAAGGAAACAACTGCTCATTCAGGTTCAGAAGGGCCCAAAGAGCCGGAAAGGGGTGAAGGTGAGAAGCGGATGAAAGAAATATGGTTAGCATGAAACAGACCCGACTGCGAAGAATCATCTTTCTCTGAATTGGAGTTTTACACTACGACTACTGGGTTCTATTATGTTATTATGGGGCAGAGGGCACTTTGGATAGGTAATTTGTGTGGGTTATGGCAACTGCAATTTAAGAGGGCGAGTGAGCTAGGGTTGGATAAACTCCCCTGTGCGAAAGGGGAAACAGGTGGTTATCACCTTAGCTGGACGTTGATAATAAATAAAATGTTCGCAGGATTGCCAAGTGTGGTAGGAGCTCTATACAAAAATGCAACTCCCAGTGAAACAGCTACCAAAATTTACAAGTTCTCTGAGGCAATCCATAGACCAGAAATGGGGAAAAAATAAAAAAAAAGATAACGAAGATGAAAAAAGATACGCGAAGAACTTCTAAGATCAAATTCCCCATTAACGGACAGAAGTGTTGTATTGGCAAGTGACGCCGCTTACGAGGCGCACTGTCCGAGAAAGCCTTGGATAAAGCGCTTTCATGATCGGCCGTCCGATGGCAACTATTGTAACAAGCGTATAGCATTAGATATGCAACGATCGTCCAATCGCTACGATCAGATGACCGGCTATAAAAGCGCCCCTAGCATGGCTCCGGGGGCACACAAGCAACTTGACAGAACCTTGCATTTTGAAACTGTTAAAAGCTTTCCAAAACACTGACAGTTGTAAGAAAACCTAATGGAATGTATACTAAATTACCTGTTGTAGAAGAATACTCCAAACCGCTCGACTGCTCGTGAAATCGGGATGAAGATAAGGTCCGGAACCCACGGTCTGAGTTGTGTGCCTGGTGGAGGAGGGCGGAACCAAGCCATCGTGCTGTAAGTTCTTTTCTCGTTCTTCATTACTATCAAAAGCGTATTTCACATACTCACTAATTCAAGTTTATCAATCAAAAAAGGGATGTTTTGAGTACTCGTGTTAGAGACAAGTATGCATCAAGGACAACACTTCTTGGACACATAGTTGTGAGCAAAAACTAGACGTCACGCAGCGCCAGTGGAACTATAACAATAAGGAAACGAGCGCTCATTTCCAATAAGAGAACCTAAACTGTTACGAAAGTTATGCTAGACATGTTGGCTTGAAAAGGCGAGGAAGTAAGGCATTACTTCGAAAGTTTCGAATTCGCGAAAAGAAAAGATACGTATCGACCAGGAGAATTTCCACACGCGCGAACGCGGATGCGAAAAGGTTTAGATACGTATCGACGTAGTAAACCACGCCCTATTAGCGTTGCTAGAGGATTTTCGCACCGCCGTTTCGATGCTGCGATCTCCGATTGACTGATCGATAGACACCATTCCTTTTAAAAGGATTCGCAGATTCGAATGCGCGATTCGAGCTCCTCCCATTTTGTGGATCGATACGCATTTCATTCATTTCGCATTTGCGCAGATTCGTTCGTTTCGAGCGTTTTTCGGCTATGGCGCAAGGTGTGAACAGTGCCTAAGAGTGGAAGACATCCATCCCAAAAGAAAACATCAAATATTTAGTGCATGTCAAAGTTCAGGCTGCGAACAAAACAAAACATGTCAAAACCCATTACTGCAGAACTTTCCAAATGGACAACAATTAACGAAGCAAGACATGTCAAAACCCCTTGTGTTGACTATGGCTTCACTTCTCAACCACTTCACTACTTGTTTTTGATTTCCTCGTGTTTGATTAAACCCTTTTTGTTAAGTTATTTCTTGATGGCTCCTGCACATATTGCAGACCTTGACAGAGTTGCTTTGTTAGCAGCACGAATATAATGCGGTGATAAGTCATTTAAGTAAACAAAACCTGTAAAAATTATACAGAGGCAACATTAGCACCAGTTTGAATAACTTTTCATGCCGAAGAGGAAAGCGAAGAAGTCAGACGCAAGACCGCACAGCCAATTGCTTAGAGCCTGGGATAATGTTGCAAGTAACTTCTCCCTACTTCCAAAAACAATTTAAATAGAAATAAAAAACATGAGATGGCAAAACCCAGCTCCAAGAAGACAGGCGGTACAGCTGCACTAAATCTGACCGGCAACAAGTAATCGCTATGAGACCGCCTTGTAATATTAGCATTTGAGCACGTCAACTGCTGTTGCGTTACTGCTTTTTTCGGCAAAACTGCTTACGTCTGCCACAAACGCTTCAAATAAGAGAGCTTGAGGCTTCGTTGTAATGGTTTTTCTCTGTTTGGTTGCAATGGAAGTACCGTTCATACAATTCAGTTGGTAGGTTACTTCCGGTGCAATAATCTGGGCGACTCCCAGTTTTATTCTGTTTTGCCAGAAATCCCATTGCAGCTTTGCCTAAAAGCACGATATTTCTGCAGGACATCGATGGAATGGAAATGATTTATAGACGAGTCTTACTGCTTCTTCTTCCCCTCGCCTCAATCTCGCGCACTCGTAGGGCCGCAGCAGGGGATCAGACCGCGTGGAGAGTGCGCGAGAGAGACAACACGAGGGGGTCCACTTTTGCCGAACGATAACGGGTGGGGTCGCATGACAGGCAAGGACCCGGGAGCGGGTGAAAGGCGTGCGTGGGTAGGCCCCCAGCTGGTTGTTCCAAAAAGAACAGCGAAAGCGTTACCATTAAAGCTCATAGTAACTCATCAATTGTCAGGCTTGGCACTCCCTGGCATGAATTGACTACATGCGTGAAAAAACGTTTTCTGTCTTGCAGCACACTGTGTGGTTGGTTGGTTACTCTATTTAAGACCGTACCGCTACATTATGAAAAAAAAGTGGTGTAGCGTGGCGCAAGACATTGAGCAGGGTCACCGAATTAGTCCAAGGACGGCGGTATCGGAGTTTGAACAAAAAGCTTCACCACTGGGTGTAGGAGCATGTTCGATGGGGACAGTAAAGCACAATCCATCCACCCATGAAACACACAATGGGTACGGCAAAACGATAGCAGGATGCAATTCGAGTCTCAGTGTACTGGATGTACCGTTCTTCCGGAAAGTGAGGACCGTCTAAAGATGCGGAGTAACGACAGCTTGCAACACCACAGACAGGGTGGCAGGCGGCGTATACGCCAAGCAGCGCCGTATTGTCCGCATAAAAACGCCTTCTCTGTGAGCGGCCGTAAGCAGACAAACTTCCTCAAGAAAATTTTGATGCTTTTAAATCAAATCTAAGCGGAACAAAATGTAGCGAACTTGCTGAATTGAATTTCAAAGACCCTCTTATGAAATTGAAGCAGAAGAAAGAATTCCTGAAAAGTGTAATCGCTGAATAATAAGGGAGTCTGCTTCTGTCGCGTAGATTTCAAGGTTCTGGTCAGCCACGCTTGCTCATCTTATGAAGAGTTTGAAGGAGATTTACAGAGGATTATGGGGTTGGTGGGGTGGAACGCTAGCTTCGAATGGGGTCGCGTTTTCCCGCAGCAGCACGGCGAGGTCCCGCGGGCGGCGCCACCCGGACCCGCCGGCCCCGCCGGGCGAACAGACACCACACGGCCGGGCGCTGACACCCGCAAGCAAGAGTGCCTCACCGGGTGAGGAACAAGAAAGACCAGATATTCCAGGCTGAAGCGACGGGCCGACGGCAGCGGAGCGGCGCGCGCGCACCGCGTGGGAGCACGCAGTTTGTGTTGAACGAGCTGAGTTTTGCAAGCAAAATTCCACCCCTGTGTGCGAGAAGCGCTCTAATCCTCCTAGGTGTCCGTAAGATTGAGCGCGTTGAAAGTAATCTGCGGCAAGTAGTGTGATGATCTCGCGAGAAGGTTAAAGTAGAATTTTAACTGCCCCGAGCGCCCCCGCCGCGAAGACTCGCGCCCGCGACGCCCCGTTGCGTTCAAATCCGGCCGACCACCCAACAACACACCCGCGCCCGGTCCCAGCCAAAACTGCGCGAAGCCGACGGAGAGCCTATGCCTTTGTAAGGATGGCTGCCGCTCGAGAGGGAACACTTTCAGGTGCCTTGTTCATGACGGGCCGAGGCGCCTGAAGCCGGCCCTGTCTAGGTTCTCCATTAGCGCCGTGTGGACAGGCACCCGCGGGCACCTTTTGCAAGAAAGTCTAGGAGTTAAGTGGAAGACGAAAGTTCTGAATTTTGTTTGGAATGTCGGAACTGCGCGACTTTCTCAAAGAGAATCGGACCCGCAAGGACCGCCACCAAAAAACCGGAACGAGTGGGCCTTGTTTTGGTAAGAATGGTCGCGTCGAGAAGTTTTCGAAGGTGCTTTGTTTGAGAAGTGCGGCTAATTGGCTTCTAGTTTCTAACTCTGGCGCCTTGGCCATTTGCCAAAAAGTTAATTATTGAAGAAAGTTCTGACGATGGTTTCGACATCGTCTGGAAAACATCCGCGCTTTCGTCAAAAATCGGACTGTCCAAACCCACCCAAAAACCGGACGGAAGGCGGACTATTGTTTAAAGAATGGCTCGCATGGTAGGAAATTTCCAGTCGTGGCTTTGTCTTGACGGAGGGCCGCTAAATCCTCTAGTTTCTCTAGCCTGGACCATTTGCAAGAAAATAAGGTACATTACACGAGAGTGCTGAATGGCCTTTGAACTGTCGCAGAAGCGCTCGCGCAGTCGTCCACAAAAAGAACGGAACGCGACGGGCACGCATTTTTTCCAAATATTGAAGCATCGCCCCGAACATCAAGAATGCGTCTTTTTTGAAAAGGAAGAACTATTCTGAATTTTCTGTAAAGATCTTTGGGTGCCGTTCCCACTGAGAGCGCCGACGAACGAAGATATAAGTTTTCGAAATAAGTACGTAAATTACTACTGCATATCCAGTTTTCCGGCTTATACAAAAAGGAGAAGGAAAAGGAGAAACGGGAACCAAGACTCGAGGGATCGAGAAAATGAAAACCAAGCCTCACTTCTGCCTGATTCGAACTCCAACCTACCCATGATCGATTGCTTTAAAGGCAGAAGGTCGGGCTTAGTGAACCTAACCAACCCTTTCGGTCATTCCTGTAATTGGTTACGCACCCATAGAGATACGTTCCCAGTGCTCAAAATCTCAAACGACGCGGTAATAAGGCCTCAGGGCACGTACTATGCGCTATCGCCGCCTAGCCCCGCTACGACCGCCCACCTCGGGATGTGGCATAACGTGTGAAATCAGCTAGGTTGATAGCCGTATCAACCGATAGAACGACTGATATCTTCAGAAAACTTGCTTGTACGTGCCTCTTCCCCAAGCCGGCCTCCTTCATTGCTTTTGAGAAAGAGGGCTTTGTTAACGGCCTTGTCGAGGGTTTTTCGCGGTTTTTTCTCCACTGCCGTTACACTTCGCATCTCTATACTCAGTTTCAATCGCCATAATCCCCCTTATTGAGCCAGACTTTTGCCTTTAACAGTCTGAAACAATGATCTCTTTCCGTTCGAAAATTCGGAAGTTTTTCGATTTCCTCCATGAAATGGAGGATAAAATATGGCGTGTGAAGAAAATATTGTGTTATTTTCGGGATTTCTTCAGGAATAAAGAGAAGAAGCCATGTACACACTTCAACTTTATCGGACAAAGACGTTGATACACACAGAAATACACCGTAACACTAAAAAACACACATGTCCAATGGGGGGGGTCGCACTGACACCCTTGAAATGGAGGGGGTCGCAAAAAATTTGGAATTCGCAAACAAGCGCAGGATTGACCCTGCTCGCAGGGCCGCAGCTCTTGTTAGATGTCGTCACTTGGTCCTATTCAAGGCATCTTCTGCCGTGATCTGACTTCAGTGAGGTCCTTCTTTATGAGGTCCCTCCACTCTTCCCTGAGGCTCTCGCGCTCGCCGTGCACGCAAAGGTCCATTGCTGTTCATATAGAATGTGTAGGGGACTAAGGATAGTCTAGGTACCTAGATGGAGGAAGGCAGGGAGAGAAAAAGGAAGTATGATAATGGACGAAGATCACCAGGGATGAAGGAAGTAAGCAATGACAATATAAAGGGGTGATCTGGTGTAGAAAATAAGTCCCCTCATTGGTGTTCCTTCCGACTGGCGATCAAGCCAGCAACTCGAGAAGCGGAGGAGGTACGTAAGCGATCAAGAAGGCAGCAAACGATCAAGTGGAGGCCGCACACGAAGCAGTAGAGGCGTTTTAAGAAGACCGGAAGGGATCATCGAAGAAGATGTCAATGAACCAGGGCAGTTCAGTCGTCATCAAGGCGTCGGCGGTGGCGGAACCCGGGACCTTGGTGGAGGTCTACCGGGGACGTGCACCTGGCGCTTATGTGCCGGGAACACCGTGGCGCACTTGGTGGCGACTTTTCAATAATTTCCTCATTTTGAGGAAAGTTACAGATGAGATGGAGCAAAGACTGATCTTTCCGCAGGAATCGGCAGCAGTAATTAAGATTGTTAGCGGGATGACCGGGATAAGATTGGTTCAGAAGGAATGGAAGAAGAGCGAGGATTAGAAGAAGGAAGGATAAGAAGGAGGATAAGAAGAGACCCCACTATAAAAGCATCCCTCAGTATGATAATAAGCATTCTCCTCCCTGTTGGCGATCAGGGCGACCACGCAGAAGAATCGTCTTCGGCTGTCAACTCATCGACTCATCGAAACATTGAAGGATCACGACTTTCAAGGAGATGGAAGCTGTCACAGCCACGGGAGCCGAAAATAAGGACGGTAAAGTAGTGATCTCCACCGGGGCGCCCACGACGTTGACGGATGGCAGGGCCCAGGAGGCTTACCGCGGGAGGCCACCGGGACCGTATGTCCCGGGGACGTCGTGGAGGACCTGGTGGAGGATTATTCACCAACTTTCTCACTTTGAGGAAAGTGGTGGAGGAGAAAGAAAAGCGACTAGTTTTTCTTCAGGAGATAGAAAACTCAAACTACGAGTTACTTGAGTCGCTGTTGCAGGGGCAAGAATTGGAATCGACGGACCTGGCCAATCTCTAGCGCGGCATATCGAGAGATTTACAGCAAAGAAGCTGTTGCTAGCGGGAAAGATTCCAAGGTCTTATGTTTAAGTTCAAAATGGCAGCGTCAGTCGTGGCCAAGAGTTTATGGCAGAGTTGCGAAGGAATGCAAACGGATGCAAATTGGGAAGGATAACGAGATCACAGGGATGCCATTTGGTGGGGACATATTTAGTGTGATCTGGTGGCATGCAGTCGATGAGAGATAGGAAGCGTATATTTAGCAGACAAAGAGGGATTAAAATCAAAGGAAGCTTCACAATCTGAATTGGGGGCGGAGGGGGTTAATGCCCCCCCCCATTTGAAAGAGGGATCCCAACCTCTAGGAATTGCACAAGTGAAGCCGAGGATGATGAGTACCAGGCAAGGACGAGTGTGAAGGCCACAAACGTTGGGCAAAGATGGTAAACGCCCGGGCAAGGGCCCTGCCCGAGAGCGTGCAATGCCTGTCTGTTTGCGGCAAAAAGGGTAAGTCAATTCGCTAGAGCCTGTTTCAGGGAGGAGAAAGCGTATTGCAAGTGGTGCAATAAACGTCGACACCTTGCCGTGGCTTGTCGAGGAGCTGGCAAGAGAGGAAAAGACTCCCGCCAGGTGCACTGGTGTGTGGAGCCTCCCGGTAGCTCGTGGCGATGATAAAAAAGCAGTATGGAGCGTTCATAGTTGGCGATCGTGCGTGCGATTAGGCGATTAGGCGATTAGGCGATTAGGCGAGTAGGCGAGTAGGCGATTAGGCGAGTAGGCGATAGGCGAGTAGGCGAGTAGGCGATCAGGCGATGAGTAAAGGATACGTATCGATTAGGCGAGTACGCGAGTAGGCGAGTAGGCGATTAGGCGATTAGGCGATTAGGTGATATCTGGATTGTATGCAACACTTTGACAAGATCTGCTCTTAACAACTAGTAGTCTAGTGTAGGGGTGAGAAGCTAATATGCCTATGCACCTCAGTTTTGACGACTAAAGAGTGCGCCGTGTGCAAATCAGGAAATGCTTTTAGTTTTCTACCCGTTCTTTGTACAGTTATGTAATGTAAGTAATCCTTTCTTGCTGAATTCAGTGAATGTGTGCTCTTCTGCAGCACGGTTTGCTACGTGGCAGACGTGGCTGTGGTCCTGATAAAAGATTTTATATCAGTGTGGTATCGTCTCTTATCTGCATGACACGCTTATGCCACGTCAAGTAAGACTCGTCTAAGAATAAGTGCGAGGACGAGGTTAATTCTAATTCATCATGTATTGTATTGTATTAATTCATCATGTCGAAGTTGGTAGGCCCACACACCGGCAAGTACTCATCAAGCGTTCGGAGCCGCGCATCCAGGAATGGTACGTGCTCCATTCGCACGTACTCCCTGCGATGCGCGACCTCACGGTAGCGCTCGTGTAATTCTTGCAATGCCTCTACGGCCTCCAGCAGGTCCATCGGTTGACGATCAGTCATTTGAAACTGAAAGATGAACGCCTCACGTCCGATGACCAGTCTTCTTTTTCAGGTGGATCAAATACTTCGGTCTCTTATGTGAAAACTACGGCAGATTCGAAATCTTCATTATTGTTTTTTACTTCCTATTACTGTGTACGAATGTTTGTGTGTTTTAATGGTCCTTTTTAGGTTATTGTTATGTTTATCTGTCATATGTTTTGTCTCCTATAGAAATCCTTACTAGAACCATATAGATACTTTAAGAGACGATTATGAAACAAATAAAAGTAAAGTATGGAGGTTCTCAACAAAAAAGTCACCGAAGATCTACCGCTCCACAATCGTAGATGATGATTAATAGCCTAATCGCCTACTCGCCTAATCGCCTACTCGCCTACTCGCCTATCGCCTACTCGCCTACTCGCCTACTCGCCTAATCTATACGTATATTTTTCATTTAGACTAATCGCCTAATCGCCAACTATGAACACTCCATTATGCGAAGAACACAATCTTCTCGATCGAGCAGTGTGGTCGCCATCGTGGAGCTAGAAGGCCGGTGGGTGTTGAACGAAACCGGGAAATAGGAGCGGAAGCAACAAAATGGAAGCAGGAGTTAGAATGCGATGAAGGAAAAAGCACTAACCGACAGGGAAAAGGCGACCGGTTTCAATGGAATCATGGTGAAAATAAGAGTAGTAATGAAGTAACTGTTTTGGCAGTAGAGCCGCCCAGCATGCTTATGATAAGGATCGTGGGGTATGATGTACTCTTCGAGTTAGATACAGGAGCGTCAATGTCGATAATTGGAAAGAAAACATGGCGCAGGATAGGAGCGTCAGAGGTAAGAGAATCAGGTGTGGAAGCCACCGCATACAATAATGAACGTATACGATTGCAGGGACAGGTGGCAGAGTCTGTTGAATTTGCAGGTCATAAAGCAGAATGAATATACATGTGTTTAGACAAGCGAGCCATCCGTTATGTGGGCGTGACATGATTAAAGCCCTGCAAATAGAATGCGGGCCACATTATAATCAAGTATACAATCTTCAGGAAATGAGTTAGGCCCAGTTGAAAAACGAAATAGTTCGTCTTCTGCATGAGAATAAAGAGTTGTTTGAAGACGGGTTGGGGGAATGTACTATGTTCAAAGCCATATTGAAATTTAAAGACAAACCTATACCAGTTTTTTAGGGCACGAACAGTGCCGATAGCGCCGCCACCAAAAGTAGAGGCAAAGTTACAGCTAAGTAATGGATCTTTGCGAGCGGTTGAGCATAGTCAGTGGGCGACACCCCTGGTAGTAGTTCCAAAACCAGGTAGGAAAAATAAGAATTTGTGGAGATTATAAAATCACGGTCAACCCGCAACTGGATATAAATCAATATCCATTATCGAAACCAGAGGACCTATTTCATGTGTTAATTGGAGGAACAAGGTTCTCGAAGTTGGACTTATCAGACGCATACATGCAAGTAGAATTAGATCCAGAGTCCAGGAAATTAACAACTATTAACACGCAGAGAGGGCTGTTCGAATATACTAGAGTACCCTTTGGAATAGCGTCAGCTCCTGCGATATTTCAGCGTACGATGGAGACTATATTAGGTGGTATTGGAGGTGTGTTAGTGTATTTGGATGATACCAGCTTTGCTCCGCCCGGTATCGCGCGCATCACATGACCTAAGGTTCCGCGGGCTCTCCAGGTTTTATCACACATAGCCCTGTAAACACTGAGCATTTCTCCTGAATTCTGATAATTTAGCGGTGAATAGGGTTATGCTGTTAGCCTCAAAATTAGAATGAAACATGCTCACTTATAATAATTGGGCTTCTACACTTATCTTTCTTCTACAGTGTTCGAAATGCCTAAGGTTTCGGTCATTGAATGAATTCTGGTCTCCTTGGTATTAGATCAACAACGAAATGCACCATTCGCCAAGAATCTGCTCAAGCTAGGCTGGTTATATTTAACGTGGACTGCGCAACCGCATTGACGTCTTTTGCCTTCAAAGTTTCCTTATCAGCTTCTATCAATTGCTATTGTCTTTGTCACCCATCACAATGTCCAGGTACCACCCCACATAACAAAAGTGAAAGAGAAAAGAAACAAAGAAAAGTAGCTGGCGAATGCACATGCGCGTGAAGCATCAAACGCATAGATCTCGCTCAAATTCGTCGCACGGTTTCCGACACGCGGCATGCCGCACGTATACGACGTCGCGCGGTGATCCTCCATAGACCCGACTCAACTCACACAGCCATAGCCACCCTTCTGAAATGAATTCGACCTTACTGGATGGTTATTTACTGGTACTGGTGGGAAAATGTTATCACAATCACGATATCTCTCGCCTCTAGTCGACCATTTTGCGGACGGACAGTGCGTGATAACAGCAACAACCGAACCCAAACTCTACAGGTTATACAATGAAGTGAGGAAAAGGTACGCCCGGATGATAAAGCACATTTAGTGAGGCTCGTAAAGGTAATGAAACGGCTCAAGGAGGCGGGATTCAAGTTAAAGAGACAAAAATGTGAATTTTTAGGACGAAATAGAATTTTTGAGGCATGTCGTAAATGCGAAGTCATACGACCATCGCCAAGCAATGGGTGGGGAAGGACTATGTTTGAACCATTGCGGAGTCAAAAATTTAAAGGAGTATAAGGTCGTATGTTGAGGCATGGTTAATATTTATGTATAAGTTATACACAAGACTTGACAGGATTGGCAGTGCCGTAATGAGACGTAGAAGGGTGTGGAATGGCGCTGGGCAAAGGAGCAAATGCAGGCTTTTAAGGCTTCCCAAGAGAAATTGACGGCGGTAGATACTTTAGCTCATTATAACCCAGAAGTACCTGTGATTCTTGCCACAGATGTATCGGAGTATGGGTTAGGAGCCGGTCATTAGTTAAGAAAGTATAGGGTGAAACCCTGTTGAGGGGGACACTCCTGTATTTAATAGTGTACCAGAGAGCAGTTCTTGTTGGAAGCTAACGGAACATACGATTTGAGAATACATACAAAAAGTGAAGATCGATTTCGGGACTTGATAAGGACCGGTGGATGTCCTACATTCCACACTACCTGCCCACATCCCATCCACTTTTCTGCACAGGTGATCCACCCTGGAGCTCCTGCACCCTTAGCCCTTTGCGGAGGTGTCCTTTCTCCTGGTCCAGGACCGTTCCCTTGGGTCATGGCAGGCGGAAATGTGAAAACGTTTCAGGGTTTCTCACCCATTACACCAATATTTATCAGAAGTCTACTTTAAATGAGTCGATTACGTGTCGTGAGCCCTCTAATCCTTATCTTGAGTATTGGAGAAAAATGGAGTGCCCCCCCCCCCCGATGGAGTTTCACCGTATAGTGACAATAGTGAGAAAGTTATAGCCTACGCGTCACGGTCCTTGACTAAAGAGCGGATTCTGAATAGAGAAGAGCTTAGAATCGTGTGTGGCGTAAAAATTTACTAACTTTTTTGAGACAGGAATTTATTTTCGTGGACCGAGATCAGCGTGTCGGGAATACACTGCGTTTCATAAATATAGGTCCACCCTAAATTTTTGCTATTCCAAAGTTGCTGCGCATTTTTGGGAAATGCCGCTATTACCAATAGTTTCCCCATAAGGAAAAACCTTGATACTCGATTTTTGGAGAAATCTTGATTAAGAATAATTAAAATATCTTTTTTAGAGCGTATTTTCACCGTTTCGCGAATATGACTACAGATCACTTTTCGAGAGATTTTATTATAGCAAAAAAACGTCACAAATTTTCAACAATGGGATGGTCCTCCCATAGTCATAAGGAACACAATAATACGTTTTGGAATGCTGGTAATCAAATTAGCTATTACAGTAGGATCGAAATTTGTCTGTGCGCTGATGATCGACGTTTTCAGCTCTTCGGTTGTTCCATTTTGCTTTTCTCTGCTGTGGAACTTTATAGCAATTAAGGCCTTATGATTCTCTATTGGAATCTGATTCAGCTAACATGTTGGCCACCAGGTAACTGCCATATTTTTTCCCACAATTCCATCTGGCGTGGAAGGACCGGCATGGACAGCCGCGTTATCGTGCGTAAAAATCAAGGTTCGAGGGAGCTGTTGTCGGAAAGATGGTAACAGTCGCTTCAGAAGAACTTCACGATACCCTATGGAATCCTCTTGAAAGGAAACAAACACGAGCTCTAGCCGCTCAGTCGTTCAAAAGAGCCTCAATCCATAAGGGATTCTCGCCAAAATTACCTTACATCAAAACCATCTCACGGAACCTCCTGTACTTTTTTTCTATCAGATCCACCTAGAATAAACTTTTTCACGTCGATCTCAGATCACCTGTAGCACGAAACAAGGAGCTAGAGTCCAAGTCGCGAAGGGTCTGAACAGCCAAACCTTCGTTCATAAAGTTGCGCCCTTTTCCACGCTGAAATGGAGACGTGCGATCTTGAAGCGCTCAAATAATCTTGGAACGCTCTTCATCAATCCGCTGAAGATGTATTGCTTCGCTGACGTACACACCACACGGTGGTTTTGGCTCCGGAGGCGTGTTCAGAGAACTGGGTTCCGGACCCCTTCACCCAGTCCGAGCGAGAAACGCCCAGTCTTTAATCTTTGAAGGAGACGCGAGTCTTATTTTAGCATCTTTGCTTTCCGCAATGGACGGGAGTGCGCATTGTTGCTTAGGTGGTAGGAGCCGGCCGGCTTGGGAGGAAATTTTGCTTTGCCATCCCACTTCAGTAAGTGCTCTGGCTTGAGCTTGTTACTGGGAAGAGAGGCGAGTAACACGAGGTACGGTAAACTCGATGTCGACTGAGCTCAGATATATCCGTGCCGTATTTTCCGTGCCATGATCGACGAGAATGGGGAATTGTGTAGTGGCCCGATTCACGAAACGGTGAAAATTCGTTAAGAAAAGTTAATTGGGTTACTTGAGGGAGGAACTTTAGTCAGAAAAACACTGTGAGGGTTTTCCATGATGAGGAATCTAATGGTGATAGCAGCATTTCAAAAAATGCACAGCAACTTTGGAGAGAAGATAGATATTAGTGTTGACTTAATTATGAAACCGCAGTGTATTCGGTCCCAAATTTAGGACTTCCAGTGATAGCGGCGAAGAGGCTGCATAGGTGGGCACTCAGGTTAATGGTTTATTCATTTGATATCGAAAATAAGAAAACGGAACAATTCGGAAATGCGGATGGATTGTCTAGGCTGCCGGACCCACGAGAATTACCAAGTGCCAAAGCAGTGTTAAATGAGGTACAAATATCACAAGTGTTGAAGAAGTGGTTGGAATGTTGTCATTTACAGTTAAGGAGTTAGCCAGAGCCACTCGGGAGATGAGACGCTGCGCATGGTGGTAGAAGGTTGTTTGTTGTGTTATAGTAGGGTGGTTATCCCTAAGACCAAGTGTGTTGAAAATGCTGCATAATAGTCATTATGGCCGCAATAGGATGATAAGCTTGGCAAGGACCAAAATTTGGTTTCCAGGCATAGATGGTGCCATTGAGAAGCGAAATTTGTGCAGCATTAGGGCGGAATCTTACCGCAATACCGCTACACCCATGGGAAAAACCCCAGAAGGTGTGGCAACGATTACATGTAGATTTTTTGTGAGACTACAAATGGATCCAAATGGTTAGTGATGGTGGACGCAAGTCCAAATGGCCTGAGGTGATAAAGATGGGGTCAACGACTGCAGAGAGGACGGCAATAAAGTTGAAAGAGGTGTTTAGTAGACATGGGTTGTTAGACCAATGGTGTCGGATAATGGACCACCATTTACATTGAAATAATTCAAGGAATATTGCGAGCAGCGGGGAATCGAGCAGATATTTACCCCGCCGTATCACCCTAATTCTAATGGTTAGGCGGAGAGGTTTGTGCAAACATTAAAGAATGCACTTTATAAAGGATTAAAAGCAGGTAAATCCGAAGAAGTGGCGGTGAGCGACTTATTGTTTGAATATAGAGTCACTCCACACATAGCCATAGGGAAGGTCCCGCTGAATTACTGATGGGCCGCAGGTTGAGAACTGTGTTCGATATAGTGAAGGCGGGCGTGAGTACCAAAGAAAGCAAATATAAGATGGGAATGAGGAAATATTGTGATCAGGGAAAGGCGGAGCGGAAATATGCGGTAGGCCAAGAGGTTTTGTTAGAAACTATTATGGTGGTAACAAGTGGATTCCAGGCATAGTCACTAAAGTGGTTGGATCGCGCACATATGAGGTGCATTACGGGTGGGGACAGAGGAAGGTCCATGGTCAAATGAAGGAGTGCTCGATACCTTGGGAATGCACGGAGGATTATATGTTGCAACGGAAGAGTAATGTTAAAGGAGCGAGCCCAGAGGGGAAGACGGAAGAGACCAGGGTACGGAGGTCAAATAGGAAGCTAAATGAAACGGAAAGGATGAGGGAATATCGTGAGAAGAAGCGAAAGCGTGTTTGTAATGTGATAGTAGACGTGGTAAACAACCAGGATCACAGTTGTCGTGAAAGAGATGGTATAAAAGCCGGCGAAGCGAGTATAGCTTCAATTATGTGGGTTATGCCCGTGCAGAATCTTTCGACTACACCACCGGTCCCGCAGCTTTCGCCGGTGTCTCCAGTGTGGGCCGCTCCGAACTCCGGACAACGATCCCCCATACCCCCCCCCATGTGGATGCCGGGGTAGATAGGAGAGCCGCAATGGTGCCGAGTTGACGCCCACCGCGGCGCTGTGTCCATGAGTCCCGACGTGCCGTGCCAGTGGTTGTCGTGGGCCCTCAGTGCATCGCAGCCATCATGGTGCGTTCCTTGTCAGCTGGAGAGCCAACGCAGAGGAGGCGAGCGTTGGAGGAGGAGGCGCGGCACTGACTTCGCCCGTGGCTGCAGTTTGGAGAGGGAGCGCACTTATTAACGCGACAGAGACTATGAAGATTATGGAGGCCGCGCGCGGAATGGGGCGTCGAACCCGCCCCGCGAAGAGAGAGAAGAACGGAATGTCGATAGAGATCATGATGTGGATCATTGAAATGATAGGTGATGTTCAATAAAGTGGTGCAATAAAAATTGTAAAGAGCCTTGTCTCTGTTTACAATAAAAGAATAATCGCAGGTGTATGGTGTAAGTAGGACTGCGGTAAAATTTCGTATAAGTGGTGGAAGACAGTAGGGGGTCGACTTCTAATGGAGATGTAGGGAGCATGCTGAACTACTGAAGGGGGTGACGAGTAGTAATACGGGTGGGGGGATGTTTAGCGGGGATGACGGGATAGGTTGGTTCGAAGGAAATGGGAGAAGAGCGAGAGAAGAGGAAGATAAGAGGAGGATAGAAGAGGACCCACTATAAAAAGATCCCTTCAGAATGATAATAAACATTCTCCTCCCTGCACTGTTGGAACACGCCACAACTAAGATTTGCTGGAGTCACTGCTGCAAGGCGAAGAGCCGGAACAGGTGGCTTTAAAGGAGCTGAGCGAAACAATGGCAAGTCATTTTCAGCCGAAGAAATTAATAGGCGATGCTACGATTATATCTCGATCACAAATCTTGACAAGCACTGCAGGATGATGCCGAAGTGCAGAAAACTGCAGCGAAACGTGAATTTGAGAATATCCAGATCATTGCGTCGCGATGCATACAATGGTTTTCATAGGGGGTCAGCCTCCGTAGAAACTAGGAAGCGGTCTTTAAAGAGGGAGATTATACCATCGAAAGAAGATGCGGGGGCAGCAGAGGCGTTTCAAAGAGTAGGTAAAAACGCAAGAACGCACGAACGAGAAAATATGAAGAGTGTAGAGATATCAATCTGCTACGAGTCTCTCTTGTGAGAAAACAGAATGACTGTAACGTCGAGGTTCAGGAATAAGGTGCTGAAAATGTTGCATAGCAGCCACTAGGGAAAAAACCGTTTTGCTCGTAAAAGTATGGTACCCGGAACTTGATAAGGAAACCGCTCAGTTAGCGAGGTCTTGCGAACATTTGTGGGAAGAGCCAGCCAAATTTCGGTAGAGAATACACATAGATTTCTGCCTGACACAAGATGGAGAAAATGGTTGATAGCGTCGAGATGGCCGGAGGTGGTCCGTATGGGCCTTACCACGGCAGAGAAAACTATGGAATATTGTGGACGGTCTTCGCGACGCACGGGCTTCCGGAAAGAATTGTATCCGATAATCAAAATCTCGTCAGCGGTATTTGGAAAATTTTGCGAGGAAAGGAATATTACGCTGACCTTGACCTCGCCATACCATCCTAATTCTAATGGCGAAGCAGAAAGATTCGTCCAGACTTTTAAGAAGGCATGGTATAAAGGGCTTCGTGATAGCAGGAAGCCAAATAACGTGAAAAATTGCTCTTCGAGTATAGAGTAACCTCTCACCGCGCGACCGGGAAGTCGCCTGCGAAAATATTGATAGGGAGAGAATTAAGAACTTCGTTAGGTATCCGAAAACGTAGGATAAGGTAACCGAAAGTAGTGCTTATAGAGAAAGGATGATTGCCGACTACAGTAAAAGGGGGAAGAAAAAAGAAAACTATCCGAAATTACCAGAGAAGTGGAGGTGAAGCCCACAAATTGTCACCCAAGTTTAGGGTAGGTATGTATGAAATTCATTGCGGTACAGGTAGCCGGAAAGTCCACACAGAACAAATGAAAGAGAGACAAGTGCCAGAGTAGGAACTATCGAGACTGGCCTAAAAAAGGAGACTAGAATTGAAACATGGGTTACCGCTGAGGAGGTTGGAGCGAGCACGTAAATTGACAGATAGGATAAAGAGTTACGTGGGAAATAGGGAAAGATCGAGTAAAATCAAGCATAGGGTACATTTAGTAGAGATGATAGGCCGTACTACTGATAAGGAGGAAATGGTGGTCTGAAAGGCGTAGAGGTTGGCAATTATGTGGACCTACGTACCGAAGCCCAACTCGCCTGTTGCACCTCCACCTCCGCCTCCGCCGCCTCCTTCACCGGCCGTTGTTTCATCACCGGCAGGCTGTGGCTCACCAATCGTAATCCAGTTGTCGCCTTTCGTGCCGGTAAGTGGGATGAGTTTCTGTGTGGAGTTGGGAAGTGTTGAAAGCGAACACGTTCAGCCTGTACAGCTTCAGTTAGTGAATATGGAGTCGAATGAAGGGCGTCCAATTTCTCAGAATGGGCGCGACGTGCTGCAAAGCCGTGGTTTCTAAAGAGATGCGGTAACTGCGAGAGCGACAGGACGTCGCCCCACAATTTGCCAAGAGCTCGAAGAAATGCGCATTCTAAGTGCCCAACTTGAGGGCGCGGATACAGAAATCTGGAAACTCAGGCCCTTGCAGAGCGCATGATGGTACAGAACAGTGATATGATTTCATGCTAGTCTTCTTTGAGGGGAAAATAAAGATTTTGTTGAAATCGTGTGCACAGATCAAATAATTGGAACATCGATAATGGGGAAGGATAGAATCCTTCTCTAGTCGGTGGAATTAAGTAAGTAAGTGTGTTATCAAGTGACTTTTAGTCATTAGTCAATGATTAAAAGTCACTTGGGGGACATGTAGGGAAATAATTAATTTAGGTAGATGGAGGAAAGTATAGTGAAGAAGGAAGCAATAGTTTATAATGAAGACTGAATTTGTGATGCTATGTGATCTCATGTGTTTATTGTTTTGCCCGTATATAAATGAGTAAATGAGCAGGAATTTTTTCATTCCTACGCATCTACTCCAGGAGGCGGTGTTTATCAAGATAAAGGTCAGTGACAACCTTGTGACAAGTTCTGTAGCAAGACGTACACACTGAGCCACGCGTACAGAAAGCCGAGAGGAGAAAATCAGAAGTATGATGATGGAAGAAGATCACCAGGGATGAAGGAACTAAACGATGACATCTATTAAATTATATGTAGCGGTCGTATAATGTATGCTATACACGTTCATATTGTGTAGACGCCATGTTCGACTCTCTATGAACCTCGGCATATTAGTGATTGAGATGGTATAGCTTTGTTGAACTGCACACGAGGTTGATACTGACAGTTTATTGGCTTACGTTTCGGCGAGTTCGCCTTCTTCGGAGCCTAAAAGGATGGAAGTCGAGTTCATGAGTATCCGACCAAAAATCTCCACACACCTACTAGATCTTCGACACCACCTAATCATCACGTAATCACAAGGTGAGAAACACCGTACCTTTACCAGATCCACTGGACCAGCCAACGACAAGCACAGTACAGTAAGACTTCGGGTGGACCGTATTCAGGGTTCCGGTTGGAAAGCCAGACTTATATAGGGGCTAACTCCCCGCGTAATTGACAGGCATTGTCTTCCCTCCGGTTCATTTTAGGATTCCTGACATGCATCCAGAATGCCTCGAGGGTTTTGCGCGCGGAATATTTGAGTCTCTTGCTCCAGGACCTCTACCGTGACCCCGAAAGTCGTCCCCGTTATGACATAGGACCCTGTGGCAACCCAACGCAGTAGAAGTGCGCGCCTTAGCCTTGCCATCCAAATGCTCTTTGATCCGCACATAAAGTGGTCTAGCCGTTTCGCCTATGTACTCATCTCCGCATGTTCTGCAGGAGATTTTGTAGACCACCCCAGCCAGCGCGCAATCCCCTTCCCTTCCAGCGGGGCAAATTGTACAGTCCGAGACTAGGCATCGACGATCGTAAAGGCGGTTCCGGACAAGGCGGCGCTTCAAGTTGTTGGGTGGAAGCTCCACGATGCCAACAGTGTTGTTAAGGCCTCACCTTCCAATTAGAACTTCATCGCTGCTCATATCGAATGACCCTGTGGCCTCCTTGCTCATGCCCATACCATCGCAGACGCTGTTGCCACAGGGGCACCCTGTCCAGTCACGTTGAACCGGAAGTCCATCTGCGCATTCTTGTTTTAGCTCAGTGGAGGTGAAAGGAGTGACTGATTCGGCCCCTCGAAGATGTCCTTCACCAGAGCGATCATATGCTCCGGAACGTTCCATTCTCTGAGCATTCTCCAGAGCACTGGTTGTGGTACACTTGCCTGGCAATGAAGCTTGCATCCGTAGAGGACTTTTCGGGCATGAACCCGAACTGTTCCTGGGAGATCGGGACCAGCTCCCGCAGTTTCGAGTCGACCAGTCGCTCGTACAGCTTCATGGTATGAGCAGTCAACTTGATCCCGCGGTAGTTGGAGCAGTCCATCGCGTCACCCTTCTGCTTGAAGATGGGACGATGGTACTTGTTCTCCAGGCATCCGGCATCTTCCTTCCGCAGTTGGTCGTGTTCAGAAAGCGGGTGAGCCACCTTACCCCGTACTCCCCAAGCGCCTTCCATTGCCTCGATTGGTACCGCCATCTGGCAGCCGCCCTTCCAATTTTTATCTTTCTTACTGCACGTCTAACATCATCCTTCATCCAGCGTTCCTAGGACCATCCGTCGCCTCCGCTTGTAGGTTACCCTCGTGGGGAAAACTCCACTTCAGGAGTCAATGAAATACTCTTCCCATCACCTGTCAATATAGACTGGTTTCCTCAGAATTGTGCCGTCGCTGCTCTTCACAATTTCCTCCACCCTGAAGGTTTGTATAGCCCATATGGATCAAATATCTGCATTTTGCTTTCCAACTGCTCGCACAGGGCATCCACTTCTCCTTCGCCTTGGCGACTCACCCTTTGCAAGTCTCTTGCAACTACTGTATCTTTGAGCTCCACATCCCCTGCCAGCACTTGAATGC